ATAGGGGGTTATTAGGGGTCGTTATGGGTGCTAGAGGGGGAGCTGTTGGAGGGGGCACCCATGGGTGCTATGGGTGTGTGCTCTGTAGGGCACCTGAGCTCTATAGATACGTGTGGGGCCTATACAGGCTCTGTAGGGTACATATAGGCTCTATAGGGTGCACATAGGCTCTATAGGGTGCACATAAGGTTTGTAAGCTTTACAGTTTATATAGAGTCTATAGCCATTTAGCATCTATAGGAAATACAGAGAATGTATAGAGTATGTACAGGTTCTATAGGATATTTATAGGTTTAAAGAACACGTATAGACTATATAGAGGACCTACGAAGGATATACAGAGTATATAGAGTACGTGTAGGATGCACAGAGGGTCTGTAGAGCGTATATGAAATTTATAGAGTACGTAAAGTGTACGTAGGGTGTTTGTAGAGTATATAGAACACATATAGACTTTGGGCGGTTTATAACGTATATAAGTTTTACAGGCGCGTAAGGTCTGTACAAGGTTTGTAGAGTATGCGTAGAAGATCTATAGAATAAATACAAGCAGTACAAGGCACATATAGAGAATTGTAAAAGCCGTATACGGGGCTGTAGGGAACACGTAGGGGACTGTAGAGCCCGTATAGTGCTCTGTACATGTAAAGGGGCACATATGGGGGCTGTGGGGCACATATGGAGGGCTGTAGAGTCATATAGGGAGCTATAGAACATATACAGGAGACTGTAAGGACACATGGGGGCTGTAGGGCACATATAGGGTGCTGTAGGGACATACGGGTACCCATAGGGCCCACGGAGGGCTGCACAGCGTACGCACCCCGGGTCCTATAGATCCTCTATAGGGAGATCCGGGGCGCGGGGCGTTGGTGCCCCCTCCCGGTGCCTATAGGTACTTCCATACGGGGCAGAGCAAGCTGATCGCGGGGAAGATCATCCCGGCCATCGCCACCACGACGGGCGCGGTGGTGGGCCTGGCCTGCCTGGAGCTCTACAAGCTGGTCCAAGGTCACGCTCGCTTGGCCTCCTACAAGAACGCCTTCCTCAACTTGGCCTTGCCCTTCGTCGGCTTCTCCGAACCCCTCGCCTGCCCTCGCAACAAGGTTGGGGGGGGGGCTGCCCCATAGTGGGGGGCGGGGCTGCCCCATAGCACTGTGGGGCACCCTATAGGTGACGCGTTGGGGCGTGGTGGCAACTGGGTGCTGCCCGTTGGGTTGGGGTTGGGTTGGGGTTGACGTCTAGAGATGCTAGGGGTCCTGGTGGGGCTGGGTTCTGC